GGGAGGGAAGGAAGGCTGGAAAGAAGGAAGGAGAGAAAGAAAAGGAGAAGGAGGAAGGAAGAAGGAGGAAGAAAGAAAAATAAAAAAGAAAGAAAGAGGGATGGAAGGAAGGAAGGCACAGAAAGGAGGAGGAGGAGAAAGGAGGGAAGGAAGGAAGGAAAGAGGGAAGAAAGAAAGAGGGAGGGAGGGAAGGAAGGAAGGAAAGAAAGAAAGAAAGAGAGAGAGAAAGAGAGAAGGATGGAAGGAAGGAACCGGATTCTATTCTATTCTATTCTATTCTATTCTATTCTATTCTATTCTATTCTATTCTGTTCTATTCCATTCGGTTCCGTTCCATTCCGTTCCATTCCATTCCATTCCATCCTATTCCATTCTTATAGTAAACAGCAGTATTTTCACTTTTGTACAATATCGCAATTTACCAGTAGATGGCAGAGATGTACCATAAACAGCATAGCCCGGGAGCACTTTTTCTGATAAGCTTAAGAAGTCTGGCCTTGCATTTTTGATAAAATTTAATTAAATAATAATTAGAAAATATATTAAAAATTGCATTGGAATTTGTTAGTTGAAAAAGGTGAGATCAGATGCCTTTCAAATTTTTTGCTACTGTAAGTGGCAGTAGGTACAGGGTAGCTTTAAAAAGAAATTGCTGTGGTACCTCTGAGTGATGCATATTCAAACAGAAAAATTAGACTTTCCCCAAATCCTGCTACAAATGCTGATCCAGATTGCACTATTTTCCTGCCTGGATATTTTTCAAAGAAGGGAGATGCACAATGGAAAACCGCCCCTCTTTAAATGTTTCATCTAGTTTCCTTTTCAGATGCTATTCTCTGCTTGCTTGCTTCTCGCAGTTAAGATTTGTGGTTCAGACCTATTCATAAATCAGCTAGCAATGTGAACAGGTGAGTTGAGAATAAAAATGCAGACCTGTTTGTACTTGATAGGGAATAGCCAACAAGCCAGATTAGGTGAGAGGATTGTGCTTCATATTTTGTATTCTAGTCAGGGGTGGGATTCAAATTTTTTAGCAACTGGTTCTGTGGCCGTGGCTTAGTTGGTGGGCATGGCTTGGTGGTCATGCAACTGAGTGGATGTGGCTTGGTGGTCATGTTACTGGCTGGGCATAGTCAACTCAACAACACTCACATCGAGGCACACATCTCCTCACCTGGCCTCTCATGACTGTGGAATGCTGCAACAGTCGTAAGTGTGAAAAACGGTCATAAGTCACTCTCATGACTGTGGAATGCTGCAATAGTCGTAAGTGTGAAAAACGGTCATAAGTCACTTCTTTCAGTGCCATTGTAACTTTGAATGGTCACTCCACACAAGCAAAGTACCAGCAAAGGAAGGGAAAAAAAATCTCCAGAGAAGTTCCTGAGACAGGAAGTCTAGTCCTGCCAAGAATGTAATAAGGGTTAAAGGAGAGGCAGTTTCTGTAAGCAACACCAGAAAGTTTCCTTCCTGCCTTCCTTACAGGATTAGGCCAGTCATTTCTTCTAACAACCAGTTCTCCGAACTGCTTAGAAGGTTAACAACCGGTTCTAGCGAATAGGTGCGAACTGGTAGAATCCCACCCCTGATTCTAGAAGAACTTTGCCCAACCTGGTGTTTTTAAGAAGAGATGGGACAACCAGTTGCAATGTATGGCTGTGAAAGTTGGACTGTAAGGAAGGCTGAGCGCCAAAGAATGGAGGCCTTTGAACTATGGTGCTGGAGGAGAAGCCTCCTGCAAGTCCCTTAGTCAATCGATCGATCCTAAGGGAGATCAGCCCTGACTGCTCTTTACAAGGCCAGATCCTGAAGATGAAACTCAAATACTTTAGCCACCTAATGAGAAGGAAGGACTCACCGGAGAAGAGCCTAATGCTGGGGAAGGTTGAAGGCAAAAGAAGAAGGGGGCAGCAGAGAATGAGGTGGCTGGATGGAGTCACTGAAGGAGCTGGTGTGAGCTTAAATGGACTCCAGAAGATGGTAGAGGACAGGAAGGCCTGGAGGAACGTTGTCCATGGTGTCACGATGGGTCGGACAAGACTTTGCAACTAACAACAACAACAAGGACAACCATTTGTCTGAAATGGTTTAGGGTTTCCTGCTTGAGCAGCAGGTTGGACTAGAGGACCTTCAAGGTCCCTTCCAACTTTGTTATTCTGTTATTCTCCAGAGATGTTGGGCTTTCAGTATCCTTAATCAGGGAATCTGGGAGTTGAAATCCAATACATTACACCAGTTGGGCAAAACAATTTTCCTGAGAGTGTCTGGATGTCCTTTAATAATTCGGAATGATGCTCAAGGTTGGGAAATTAGATTAGAGGGTTCAACCAGACCTTGTGCCAGAGAATATTCCTGAGGATATTCCTACATTTTGAGATAATATAATGACATCTAAGCATGGGATACTAGGAAAGAGCTAACATGAAGAGGCAACTCCTAACAGACTTCATGGACAATTCATGGAGGTCCTTCACAGAAAAATTCATGGAGGTCCATTATTGACAACCTCATAGAGCAGTGGTCACCAACCAGTGGGCTGGGGACCACTAGTGGTCCGCAGGAAAATTTTGGTGGTCCACAGAGAAATGTCACCCCCAAAGCATCCACCCAAAGCAATTAATTCAGGATGCACAGGAACACAAGGCTGCGCCACCCACATGGCCTGTGGGAACACAAGGCTTGCATCGCTTGCATTGCAACAACACAAGGTAGTAAGGGGAGGGTGGGGAGGGTGGAGGAGGGTCTCCTGCTTGGGCAGGGGGTTCGACTAGAAGACCAACAAGGTCCCATTCAGCCAGTGGTGGGATTCAAATATTTTTTACTACCGGTTCTGTGGGCGTGGCTTGATGGGTGTGGCAGGGGAAGGATACTGCAAAATCTCCAATCAGAGGTGGGATTTGCCAGTTCTCCAAACTATTCAAAATTTCCGCTACCGGTTCTCCAGAACTGGTCAGAACCTGCTGAATACCACCTCTGCTTCCAGCTCTGTTAATTTGTTAAAACCATGGCAGCCTTCCATGACCACCCCACACCTTTTTTTTTTTCTCTTTTGTCTTCCTGCTTTCCCAAAGTCGTAATAAAAGAAAGCATATTCCTCCACTATCTGGTGCAGCTGGTAATAAAAAAAATAAGTGCCAGGCTTCGGCTGGAGATTTACTGGGTTAGCAGAAAAATGTCTCCCTCTCTCATTCCACTATTTCCTTTCTCTGCAATAATAATCTCATTAGGATGAGCTACAGGCTTTCTTGAGTGTGCTTCGTCTGCTACCTCCCACCTTCCTCCCACAGATCTATCTCCTTTTGTGGATCTCCCTCCACAAAATTGCTGGGTTGTAATTGTAAATGACCCTTTGATGGTGGGCCTATTCTCCCTGGTAGGCTCCATTGAAATGAGAAGGCTGGGGTTTTATTTGTTGTTGTTGTTGCACAGCTACCAATGTGTCAGTTCGCTCTAATGTTCTGGATAAGGCATTTTCAAACCTAAATATTCCCCTCTACCCTCCAATGGAAGCTTGTTAAGGAGACTACGAGTACTCCTTGACTTACAACAGTTTGTTCAGTGACCATTGGACATTATTTATGATGGTTGCCCTGCAGTGGTTGGATTCAATTTTTTTTTTACTACCGGTTCTGTGGGCGTGGCTTGGTGGGCATGGCAGGGGAAGGACACTATAAAATATCCAGTCAGAGGTGGTCTTTGCCGGTTCTCCGAACTACTCAAAATTTCCGCTACCGGTTCTCCTGAACTGACCAGAACCTGCTGAATGCCCACCTCTGATCAGAGTGTGTTAATAGTAATATACAAAATACTAATGCTCTGACGGTCATTTTGAAATATCCTTTCTTAGTAAGCACCTAGAAGCCAAGAGGAACATACGTGCCAAATTTCAAATTTGTAGGCTTTACGGTTCTGGAGATTTTGGGATGATGCATGAGTGGTATTTCGCTTTTATATAGATAGGTAGATAATCCCCTTTCTGGTTGGGGAATCTTAGAAGAAGAAGTCCACACTTCTCCAGGCTGAGGTTATAACAAACACTGTTCTAGACAAGGGGGTCATTTGAGGGCCTACCGAGTCCCAGCGGATCGGCTAGGTCTTCTTTTGTTGCCCTGCACAGGAGAACGGAACTGGAAAGCAGGTTAGTGGGGTGCTTCTTGTCCTGCCTTCAGGTGCTTTGGAGAATCGGTTGACCCCCCCCCCTCTTCTTTATGGCAACCTTTTAAATATTGAAACATTGCTATCATGTCAAGATTGCGTTCATTCTGCATCCTGAACTCTTTGAAGGGTTCCCTGTTCTGGTGGCAAATCAGCACTCAGGAACCTTGGTGTTCAAGAACTAAATTTAACACTCATCAGAATTTTATTTTATTTTATTTTATTTTATTGCAGTTAAACATTACACAGAGGACGGTGGCTTTTTCCGGATGTCAAGGATTACCTGTACGAAGGTACCTGGACTTTGGGAAGAGCTGCCTTACCTGGGTTGCAATTCACTAATCAACCAGTAGAGGCAGCAAAAATAGGGGGCCAACCAGAGGTGGTATTTGCCGCTTCTCCTTTCTACTCAATACTTCCGTTACCAGTTCTGCAGAACTGGTCAGAACCTGCTGAAGACCACCTTTGCTGTGGGGGAATGGATTTAGCATCTGTTAGAAACCACAAAAGTATCAAACCCTCCCTCCCATACACACACACTTGTGCAATTCTGAAAAAAAGGCAAGGTTTGGTTTGTTTCTTAACAG